TGGGGTTCTTCTCGGGGGCTGAGAGCCGTGTACCTGTGGTCTGACCCTCTGTCTCCTCCCCGCAGTGCTGGCACTGGCCTGACCCTCAGGACACGCCCCGTCGTCTCCCTGATCTCCGGCCGCCGTCGGACCTTCGCTCCCCAACCCCCCAGCCTCTGTGCATGTGTATGAGCCCCTGTCGGGCGGGGGTGCCCGGCGGCCCAGCACTCCCCTCCTCACCCGATCAGCCACCTGCTCGGCCAAGGCATCGTGGCCCTTCCCCTCCAGCAGCTCCTCTCCTATCTGGTCACCTCCTCCTGGGGGGGGTGCAGCACTCGGTCCCCCCCCACCCTCCTCCACTCAGACACTGCAGCCTGGGGGCAGCTCCCGGAGTCCTCCATCCCTGTGCTCCTGCCCTCTGGTGCTGCACATCCCTTCCCTGCAGCTTCACTCCCCTCCCCTTCCCCCCACCACATGGGAGAGGGGGGCGGGTGGGGTAACATCAGCTCTGCCCCCAGCTGGCCCTGGGCTGTACAATGCCACCGCCGCCTGCTCTCCTCTGCGTTCCCTTCCTCCGGCAGCTTCCTCTCTCTCCTCCGCTGAAATCTGCCTCCGTCTTGTCCCTGCAGCATTAACCACCCCTGGACGCAGCCTGGCTGGCGTAGGCCCTGCCCCCCCCTTTTGGGAGCCCTGGGGGTGGGGCTAGTGAATCCTGCTGGTCCCCCAGAAGCAGAACTCACCCCAGCCCCAGAGCCTCCCTGGGGCAGGTTTCCAGCAGCGAAGAGAGGGGCCCTGCCGCTGGAGATGAGGTTTCTTTAACACCGCTCCGGTCAGTTTCACCCTGGGCTGGAGGCATCTCCCTCGTCAGTTTCACCTTTGGGCCGGGCAGGTTCCCGCAGGCGGCTGTTTGCCTCTGGGGCTGGAGGCATTTCTCAGCCCTGGGACACAGAGCTTTGAAATCCAGCCTGCCCCGGCCATCTCCCTGGTGCGAGAGGCTGATCGGAGCCTGGCCCAGCTCCAGCGGCTCTGCTACCTTCCCAGATCTGCCTGCCAGCCAGCCCTCAGCAGGTCTGATCCCTGCCCTAAGCCCAGGGAGCTGCCCCCAGAGGGTGGAGCCAGGAGCTTGCAGGGGAGGGGAGGCTGTGACCTCGCTCTGTCATGGAGCTAAAATCTGCTTGGTGTTCATCTCCTGGCCTCTGCAGGGGTATGGAGCAGCCTTTCCCCCTACCCCCCAATCCTTCAGGTACAGCTGATGGGGCAGAATCCCCTGGGTTCCTGCCTGGGGGCTTCCATCCTCCCCCTGACCCTGCTGGAAGGTCCCGGGGTTGTGCCCCTCGCCGGGTAGGGCTGGGAATCGGACCCATCTAGTGCGGAAGGGGGTGTGACCTGTTGAAGTCAAGGAGTGTTTAGCTACCCCTGCTCCCACCCTGCCACCAAATGCCTGAGCCCCAGCGGGACCCTCCCCTCCCCTCCTGCCCTGGTGGTCATGCACTGAGCAATGCCTGGAGGGTCCTCTGCCCCTTAACAAGCCCCACTCCCTCCTCACACCCTCAGTGAAATGTCACTTTAAATCCAATGGGGTTTTTTTGTGTAAACTTGTTTTATTATTTTTTCTTCTCCATGATTAAAAAAATGCTCGACCGTTCCTCTGTGGCAGTGGTGGGGGTAGCGCTGGGGGGGAGTGACAAAGCGCTGAAGCAACTTTGGGTCTCCTCTGCCCCTTAACAAGCCCCACTCCCTCCTCACACCCTCAGTGAAATGTCACTTTAAATCCAATGGGGTTTTTTTGTGTAAACTTGTTTTATTATTTTTTCTTCTCCATGATTAAAAAAATGCTCGACCGTTCCTCTGTGGCAGTGGTGGGGGTAGCGCTGGGGGGGAGTGACAAAGCGCTGAAGCAACTTTGGGTCGTTCTGGGGGGTGTTTTATACAGGGAGCACTTGCCTGGTGCGGGGATGCGACTGTCTCTGGGGGGCACGGGTGCTGTTTATAATAGGGCCCCTTGCCCTGGGGTAGAGATGCAGCCACTGCTGGGGTGGAGTAGCCTTTATCAAGGGCCAGAGCAAGGCAGCGGCTGAGAGGCCATAAAGGCGAATCCCGTGTCCTTTTGAAGCCCCCCAGGGCCTTGCTGGTGGCAAAAGGGGTTGGCTGAAGGTGCTGTGGGCTGGGAGCGGCTGGGGCTGCAGGCCAAGCGCTGAGGGGCTTGGTAACCATTTCCGGGGAGGTCTGGCTCCCTTCTCCCGGACACGTGCTGCAGCAGCTGGGCCCTGAGGGCCAGTCCTTGCCCCCCCCCCCCCCCACCCCGCCCCCCCCCCCCCACACACACACTCTTCCACAGCGGGCCCCACTCCATTGCTGAGACCCTATCACCAATCCTTTGTACCAGAGCAAAGGGATTGGAGAGAGTTGTCTTGTGGTACCCCGCCTGCCTCTGTGCTGGGGACTGGAGGGCTGGAAATGGATCCCAGCTGGGGCAGTGGCCGGGCAGAGGGCGTTCACAGCGGAGCAGGGGTTGGGTGTTGGGCGTTTTTCCCACTTCCAAATTCCCCTCTTGGTTTGCCGATGGGTTTTGCGTTTGGGGACCGAGGTTTTTCGAAGGCAGGAATCGGCCTGTGCTGGTTTGTGGTTCGGTGGCCGAAAGGTCCCCAGTGTCTCTGTGGTTTGCTTGTCTGCTGCACCAGAGGGGGAAGTCTCATTC